TAGTAACTATCAACGTGAAACTCGGACTGGTGCCGTCAATCATCGCTAATCTGTTGCGACAGCAATGTTTACTTATACGCTTCACTAGTAGTTGTTTAGCGGCCGTCGAAAAAATAACAAAATTATAAACTACAATTCACTTCGAAGTTGGTAAGATGGCATCAGTTAAATCTAAATTTCAATTCTTCTAAATTTCAATTCTGCTAAAAAGCAATCTATCTGTAATCTTGATCTATGCAGTAATGGGATCTTGGAATATAAGAGTGAATTAGTTGTTCGACCAGATGCAGTACAGATGCAAGCACCAATATCATATATTGCGCAGCACGAGCTTTTGTCACGATTCCTATGAACGTTTGCTAGACATTGAGCCGCTCAATAATGACTAATTTGAAATTGCTCACCTACAATTGCAGGCCGACAGGGTGGGATTTGTGAGGGGTTCATTTTCACTCATTTCTTTTTTTGGTGAGCTATTTCTTGTGCCATCCTTCCCAGTGCTGTTTGTACCGGCCTCAATGAGTAATCATCCTCGGAAGGAATCGCAATCGCCTCACCTTGCGCATTACGCTACATATCATTAGAAAATGTTGTATAATTGTTTTAAAGCGCTTTCTTTTTCCAGTAGGAAGTTTATTCAGTTTATTTTTGACGCTGATAGTAATTTAGTCGGCTTCACTACCAGATGTCATATTTGTTTTGGTCGCCCGAACGTATCTGTTGGAGACTTTTCTGTGAGAGATCGGCACTACGACTCTGTATTCAAGTAAGCCTTGGAATTCTTTTGAATGAATATGGAGAAAAGTATTTTTCCACGATTCTTATTTGGAATACTTTTTTAGATGGCTTCGCGAGCTAGGTAATCCAGCCTCTGTTATGGTTCGCTTTGAAAATAGACGAAACTTTCTCGACTGCCATAAGCGAAATGTTTTTCACTGGTGTGAACATGATTTCACGCGTGGTATGCTATACTGTTTGGGTTTTGCTTTGTTCTGCAACCCCAACATCGTTGGCAAATATTGCCCTTCTTCTTACAGGTTACAAAACTCGTTAGGGAGCATAAACAGAAGCGGATAGTTCTCGTTGGTTGGGGTACTTCTTGCTGTTTCAATCATGTGGTTGGTTTCGGGTTAATTGCATTCATTTAAGTCATAATTGCACTTATTATTTGCAATATTCATTTATTTATTTTTCTAGTCACGAATGCTGTCCTTTTTTTTTACCACTTTTTAATAGTTGTGGTTATAGGTGCTCAATACAGTTCCTGGTGTTTCGGCAATAATCGATCTCGCTTTTCCTGTATTAACGCAGAATGGAATGCGAAGGGTTTTGTACTTTAAGCTCTGCGTACACACTTCAGCACTGGAAGCTGTTTCTTTGTCTGTCCGTATTGCGTTAATGTATACGAAGTTGGTTCCAGGACCCCGATGTACATACTGCTACCTACTGCCATCAACGCTTTTTGTGTTTAGAGGCATGACGACTACCATCCGGTCGATCGAAGTATATCGAGAGCCAACATATAAGTGAGATTGTTTGCAGAAAAAACAATTTTTATTATACAAGAAAGCTAAGCTCTTCTCTGATGGGATAATGTGATTTGATATCCTCCTTGCAAATAGCATGTCGTAGGCAAACATAGGATAATGGAAATCCTTATCCTATTATTTTATTTGTTCTATACGTTCGTGTTGATGTTGAATAGTTTTGTAGTGTATTGTTACTAACTAATTGTTTCACATGCCTACTGGCATGTCCGTTAATAAATAAATAATAAATCCTCACAGTTTCTAAGAGATCTTTCTGTAGGAGCTGGAGGAGTTGAATGATGAGGCTGCAGTTACCATCAACCCACTAAATATAACTCGCTAATCAATGTTGTATAAGGGTGAAGCGTTTGGCGTCTACCAATACCTTTTTGAGTGCGCCACGCTTACTACTCCATATAGAATTGTAGTTGCATAAAGTGATTCTTCTGGCTCACATATTCACTTGTGCGGGTCAACCGAAGTGTATGCCAGTGTTTTGTCTCCTAAACGTGCATGGTAGCACTCTCCTATCTCGTCATGTTTGATGGTTTGATTGGTCCGGGCGATTCGGTCGGGGCGGGCGAGAAAATCGATTTAGAATTTGAGAACTAGACCGCATGCAAGCTGAGCGGCGCCGCTGATCACTGCACCACCACCAAATCACGATGTAAAGATTGCATGTCGAGCAGGGCTATTATCTAAGCTATGGTCCGCGATTTTAGATGGCATTCGACTCAAAACATTGAGCAGGGTTGAATGATTCTATTCTATCCGAATTTCACTCATTCCCAAACATTTCACGGCATTTTCTGCTTTTTTTCAAAATGTCATTGCGGAACGAGATCCAAAAAAATATCTGTGTGATAATTCTTGTTCCTCTAATAATTTATTTTCGTGATGGATCTAAACTTTGCAGTGCCCACTGGTCTTGTTGTGATCGGCCATGCGAACAACAATCTGGTCGTTTCCTGTTCCGTTTTGTCCCGCCTGCGCATAACTCAGAAAGTTGTAAACCGATGTATTGTGGTATGCTTGCTTTATTTAATACTATTTTTTTTCAAATTCTCCGTTATTGAATTTCTTTCGATAGAATTTAGCAAAGATGAGGATTATACGTGTAATGTCATTATTTCCTGTTTTGTAGGAGCAAATCTGCGACTTCCTTTCTATGGATTGGACGAAACGTGAGAGATCGCGTCTTGTTCCTATGCCTTTGAATGATACGTTCAAGATTGATTTGATGCAGCTTAAAATTGAGTAAGTGCCTGAAGGTTTTGTCATCAGCTGTTTTTTCCCTTACCACCGCTATTTTTAGTGAAAAGGCAGCTCAAGCGAGTCGAAAGCCAAAGGAGGAAAGCATAGTTGACAGCCGTGGCCGCAAGAAGAAATTGTACCGTTTCATTATTACTATAGTTTTTCGAATCCGTTATCCATGTTCATGTGCTTTAGATCTGGTACTCCATTACCTTCTCCTATTCCTCGAGAGGCATCGCCGTCACCGCTTCCTCTTTCGCAACTTGATAGCGTGCGATCAAACTTCCAGAACCTACTGAAAAAGTAAATCTCAGCTGTTCATTCTGTTTAGATTTTCTTGATATTCCTTATTCTTTTTTGGTATCTTTCAGATTCTCAGTATACCTTCTTTCAGAGCTGGAAATGATAAACCTTCGAAATGGCC